GAGTTATAATGAATATAGGTGTTATATATATATAGGTGTTATAAGGGTTAGATATAAGTAGGTATTTAAAGAGTTATAATGAATATAGGTGTTATATATAAATATTTTTAGGGTGTTATATATATATATTGTTATAGGTGTTATATATAATGAATAAGGATTATAAGGAATATAAGAGGTATAAGAGTTATAATGAATATAAGGGTTATAATGAATATAAGGGTTATAAGAGGTATAGGGTTAGTATAGTATTAGATATAGGGTTATATATAAGGGTGTTAATTGATGTAGAATTATAAGAAAAGAAATAGGAAGTAGTAAAATATAAAAAAGTAAAAAGAAAGATAATAAGAAATAGAAAAATATTAAAAGTAAAATACTAAAAGCAAAATACTAAAAGCAAAATACTAAAAGTAATAGAAAGTAGTAGAAAGTAATAGAAAGTAGTAAAATATTAAAAGCAAAATACTAAAAGTAATAGAAAGTAGTAAAAAGTAATAGAAAGTAGTAAAATATAATAGAAAGTAGTAAAATATTAAATAAATTTAATTTTCTTTTTAAGATTTTAAATCTAAAGAATCATTTTGAAATTTTTCTGGGAAAAGATCTTTTATTTTTTTAATGACAATTTGATATTTAATATAATTTTTTTCGGAAAATATTTTTGCAAATTTAAATACATCTATTTGTTTTAAGGGGGAGTCTTTAGTAGATGTTTCATTTGGAGATGGGTCATTTGTAGATGGTTTTTTTAGAGATGGGTGATTCTGAGATGGTTTTTTTAGAGGGGGATCATTTGTAGATGGGTGATTTAGAGATGGGTCATTTGTAGATGGTTTTTTTAGAGATGGGTGATTCTGAGATGGTTCTTTTGTAGATGGGTCACTCAAACTTGATTTACTCGAACTTGGTTTACTCAAACCTGATTTACTCAAACCTGATTTACTTGAATCTGATTTACTCAAATCTTCTTCCTTAAAATCTTCTTCCTTAAAATCTGATTCCTTTATAAGGGATTCTTTTAAGAGTGGAATTAATTCTTCTGGGAATTTGGAAAATTCAAAAAGTGGAATTTTAAGAAAATTTTGGTCAAATTCTGTAAATTTTAAAAAGATAGAATTAGGAAATACCAAATACGGTTTTTTACCTATAAATCCTTCTTCTTCACTTTCACTATTACTATCTATCCAGTCATTATTACTATAAGAGTCTTCTTCTTCCTCTTCGTCTGTAGATCCTATATCATCTGCATCTTCTGTATCTTCCCATTCTATTTCAGAATCAAATTCATAATCTATTGAATCTGAAAGTTTTTGTAGTGAATTTTTACAGTTTATTTTGTCTTTAAAACCGTAAAATGGTGGTCGTATGGAATCGTGGAATTTAATAAATGTAAGTTTTTTTGGATTTTCTATATCTTTTGGTTTTCTTAATGTAAATTGTCCTTGGAATCGTGGATCATTTCTTTTATAAACAGTTACGTTTTCATCAAAAATTAGGGGAATAAAACGACCTTTAAATTCTGTATTTGTAGATTCTTTTTTGTTTTCTTTTTTTGCAAATAATAATAATGTTTGATTGTTTTTAATTTGTGAAGATTTTGAATTGCTTGTGGATTTTCTTTTTTGATCGTTGTTTATGGTTTTTTCCTTTTCTTTATTATTATTTGAAGATTTGTTCAATAATTCATTCTTCTGATATTCAAGTAGGCTTTTTTCCTTTTCTTTATTATTATTTGAAGATTTGTTCAATAATTCATTCTCTTGTTCGTCAAGTAGGCTTTTTTCTATTTCTTTATTATTTAAGGATTTGTTCAATAATTCATTCTCTTGTTCGTCAAATAAGTTTTTTTCCTTTTCTTTATTATTTAAGGATTTGTTTAATAATTTATTCTCTTGTTCGTCAAGTAGGCTTTTTTCCTTTTCTTTATTATCTTTCATTGAATTATCTAACGTTTTTCTTTTTTGATCTTCAAGTATGATTTTCTCTAATATTTTATTATCATTAATTAAACTATCTAATAATTTCTTCTTCTGATCTTCAAGTAAGCTTTTTTCTATTTCTTTATTACTATTTAATAAATTATCTAATGATTTGCTTTTTTGATCTTCGAGTATGGTTTTCTCTAATATTTTATTATCTAAATTATTTTCACAAATAATATTTTTCTCGTCTGTTTTTAATAAAGATTCTTCTATTTCTGTATTATTTTTAGAGTCTGTATTACCAGAACTATCAATCTCAATCATTTGTAAATTTTTTGATTCTGAATTTTCTAATTTCTTATATTTTTCATATTTAAATTTATATTCTTCTAAAATATTTTTACGTTTTTTTTGTACATCAAATAAAAATATTTCTTCCAAAATAATAATATCTTTACACTCAAGAAACCATAAACCTCCATTATTTCTTTTATTAAGATTTTTATGATATAAAGTAGGTCTACTCTTAACATATATATTACTATCTTCAAATCTATAAAACCTCCATTCCATACTTTCATCCATCACATTTTTTATAATTTCTATTCTTTGATTTTTATCTAATAATGTATTTACATGATCAAAGAATAATGTGTCAATATCATCATAAGTGTATGAAAGTCTTAAATACAAACAGTATGGTAATATTTCTTTTAGATTTTCTAATTCGTTATTTTTTTTAAAAGCTAACAATTTTTTGAGTGAGAATGGATGGTTTTGCATTTAAAAATGGGAATGAAAAAATTTTTTTTTTATAAATGAGAATTCTTTTAATAAAATTGTAGGTTTACTTTTTTTATTTTAGTTGGAAATATATTGTGAGAATAAAGATTCATCCTTATAATAAATTTGTATTTTTACTTTATTTTATAATAGAAATCTGATTAGATAGGAAATATATTGTGAGAATAATTTTTTTGCAATTTTTAATCGTATATAAAAAAACAGGTTGATTTGGAATAAACTAAATCTAAATTAAATAAAATTCTAAGTTTAATTATTTAATGAATTTTCTTTCTCTTAAACTAGTAATACAAGTAAGAAAATATAATTAAAAATAACCGAGTATTAAATTAATTTAAACTTATTTCTTATCTAAATATGAGTGGAGTCTTTATTTAAAAATATAATATCATCAATAATTATTTTCTTATAAATTCACTTTTTATTTTCTGTTATAAGTTAAAATATATGGTTTATAATTTATAGATCTTTAATAAATGTTTTATTAGAGTGAATATTAATTGTATTATTGTAGGTATTTAAGGTATATTAAGAGGTAAAATATTTTGTAATTAAAATGAAAAATAAATTGTATTATCATAAAATAAACTAATAAATAATTGTTTTATTGAAGAAGGTTCCATTGAGTTACTTCAATGAATGTATGAAGGATATAATGTGTAGCCTAGGTATTGCCTTTAGTATGCATACGGGATGAAATGAAACGGAATGATACGCAAATATGATAATAAAAAATATTGTTGGTTATGAAAAATTTATACAGAGGAACATTATTATTATTTATTAACTTGTTCCCTTCCCTACCGATGTAACACAATCTAACGATAAATCATAGCTTTGCCAATTTATAGGCGTTCCAAAGACAATTTTCTTTTGATAGGTTAGGTTGTTCGCCTCACGCAAACTTTCCGAACGAAAGATATAGAGTGCACTAACCGGAGATCGAACCCGGCCTTTGGGATTTAAATTCTAATATCCTCATCACTAGATCATTAGCGACATTTTCAGACATTATAGAGTAAAAAAATACAACAACTGAAGATTGAATTATTTTTCGATTTATTTTTACTGAAAACAAAATCATAATGAAAAAACTTTGACTTGAATAATGCGTTGAAGAGTGTGATTTGAATATTTTTACATAAATTCGATTTTAATAGAATACATTTGTGTTGATGGCTAAGGTTAAGTTAAAAATATAGAATAAATATTGAAATGTCTATAATTACATAGTAAAGTGTATTTATCTTTAGTTTTTTATAAAATGATGTCTGAAAATTTTTTTATTGTCGAGATATCGTTATAAAATTAAAAGATTCTTATGAAGGAAATTGAAAAATGTGAACTCTTAAGAAATTCTATGTCTGATTTCAAATCAATGTAAAAAAAAACCTCAATTTATCTAAATATCTGTTGGGTTTGACGTGGAGTCTGATATTAAAGAGTGGTGTATAAATCATTAGAGATATGGAAGAATTTTTAAATTTCAAAAAGTATTGGGATTATAGGTGTTTATAAAATAAAACTGGGTGTATTATAAATAAGGGGGATGCATTATAAATTGCGACATTAAATAAATATTCAATTATTTAATATTTTTTAGACCCCTTCTAAGATTCACTTCAAATAGTTGAAACAGGGAAACTTAAGAAGTATGACCTATTAGCAAATGAGTTAGGTCTTATTTATAAATGCAGTGTAGAGATAATTCCTTATGTGATGACCTGGGACGGTATTGTGACAAAATACCATAAGACGTATGTTAAGAGACTGCAAATACCCATGAATGTAGAGGCATATATACAATCCATAGTACTCAAGAAGACAGTCGAAACAATTTCTTTTGATCGACGAAGAGGACTTGAGTCTGGTCCAAATGCCAAAGAGAGCTGGGTGAGAGCATCATTAAGTTCTATTTTATGAGCAGAGATGAATGAGGAACCACATTTCGTTCAAAACAAGGAAGTAGACAACGAGGAAGATGATTTTAAAGCGGAAAATACAAAAAATATTTTACCCCTTATTTCGGATGGCATAAATAACCACAGCAAAGCAACCAACAACTAATACAAATGAAGAGTTGGAGAAAGAGATAGAAGTTGTTGAACTGGTTGAAAGAATTATTTTAGAAAAGAGAAAAATTTGTTAACCCAGAATTTTATTAAATAAAATTTCTAGTCATAGATAAATTTACCATTACAATACTTCTAAAATATTTCCTTACAACCCTTATATCACCTATTAAAGTAAAATAGAAAAACAACTATAAAAGGGCAACACCGGGGATCGAACCCGGGACCTTCTGCACCCTAAGCAGATGCCATACCACTAGACCATGTCACCTCACTAATTATTCTAAATAAAAAATTAAATAAATATAGAATATAGAATGTGAAATAAAAAAAAAGTGAATAATTTTTATTCAGAAAGAGATAAATCAAATACGAAGAAAAGAGAAGAATATAAGAAAGTTTTTTAATTATTTCTTTACTTAATTAAACCCTAATCCCCCCATAAGAAATATATTTCTATCTTATAAATCATTACTAATTCCTAATCTCACGATGAGACATATATTTCTATCTTATAAATCCTTACTAATTCCTATTTCCTATTCTCACCATAAGAAATATAATTTTATCTTTTAAATAATTCCTAATTCCTATTCTCACTATAAGGATTGTATTTTTTACTTTTTATTTTCTTTAAATTTTCAGTTTCAAATTCAAATAAATTTTGTGATTTACTTACACTATCACCCAAAGAAGTATAATTATTAGAAATATTATTAGAAGTATAAATACTAAGATCATTAGAAATACTATTAGCATTAGAACTATAAATACTATTAGAACTATAAATATTATTAGAATTATTATTATTATTAGAAATACTATTAGCATTAGAAGTATGAATACTAGGATCATTAGAAATATTATTAGAACTATGAATACTATTATTATTTGAAGTCTTATAAATACTATTATAACCTATAGGGTTACTTACACTACTATCATTAACACTCTTATATTCTCTAAAATGCTTTACCTCTTCACTACTCTCTTCTCTCTCTTCTTTATATCCTCTTCTATACAATATATCCTTACAATACTTTATATTCTCTTTATTACTCATCAAACCTAGTAATTCAACCAAATCATAATTTAAATTTTTAACATTTCCTCCATCACTTCTTATATCCTTTATATTACCTCTACTTATACCTTTTATATCTTTTATATCACACCCCACACCCACATCACACCCTACACCCACACCCACACCTTCTATTATATTTTTAAATTCCTTTAAAATATTCTCTTCATTACCAGCAAGTCTTTCATCAACAATTCTTATATATTCTACTTCCAACGGATAAACACACATACCTTTCCCATACACAATACAACACCCCCCTCTAACACAAAGAACAACCCCTTCTATTCTCTGTAACAACACACACAACTTATCAACAACTTTATACAAAAATCCATTTCCCCATACAAAAATATACCCTTCTTCACTAAAATAACACCTCTCTATATTATAAAGTAAATTTATATTTTTACTTTTTAATGTTCTTATATCTAACACCTTTAATATATTAGTATTGTAAATAACACCTAATTTATATTCATATGAATTAACACCCTTTATATTTACTAATCCTATTTCTATTATTTTTTTACCTTTTAACATATAAATAGATATTATATAATTAACACCCTCTAATTTACTTACAATACTAATAAAACGATTACTTACTGTTATTTCAGTAATAACACCCACAGTAGAAACAGACCAGTCATTACAAGAGATATTGTTAGTATAGGTGTTGTTATAGGTGTTGTTATAGGTGTTGTTATTAGTATTAGTATATGTGTTAGGGTTAGTATTAGTATTAGTATATGTGTTAGTATATGTGTTAGGGTTAGTATTAGTATTAGTACTAGTATAGGTGTTAGTATAGGGGTTACTTATAATATCATCCCTATTATAATCTCTATTATCACCCACCCCTCCATACCCCCTACTATCCCCCCTATTACTATCTCCATTCATAAATACCTTTAAAATATTTTCATTACTAATAACAATTCTATTTTCTGTAAAATCTATTTTATTTATTTTTTCTTTAAATTTCCTTGAAGGTCTTTTACTGTTATGATAGATAACCTCAGTAATGACATTACAAGTAGATTTGTTAGTAGATTTGTTATTACTATTGTTATATACTGATTTGTCATATACTGATTTGTTATATACTTCATTCTCTTCTATCTCCTTACCTCCATCTACCCCCCCATCCACCCCACAATCCCCACAATCTATATATTTATCTTCTTTTATTTGTATTACATAACCTACTTCATTATAAAATATTAAAGAAATACCATTCTTAGTAATAGGAAGTCTTAATTTATCATAAGTATTAGATAATATATAAGAAGGGTGTTCTATATCTCTCTGCTCTCTCCCATCTATATCCTCTCCCCCCTCTATCTCATCACTACTGTATTCTACCACACTTCTTATATCACTACTACACTCATTCTCAAATAAGTTTAAATGGTCTCCTTTATATTTCTCTGAAATATCAGTAATTCTACTTTTATTTTTAATTGTAAATTTATTATTTTCATCAGTAGAGTCACAAGAATTATAAGAAGAGTCTTCACACTCATCCTGTATGAATTTGTTGTTATTAGTATGTTTGATATTAGTATTAGTATGTTTGTTGTTAGTATTAGTATGTTTGATATTAGTATGTTTGATATTAGTATTAGTATGTTTGATATTAGTATTAGTATGTTTGTTATTAGTATGTTTGTTATTACTCTTAGTACTAATATTACTCTTACTACTAATATCACCCTTACTCTTATTACTAATATCACCCTTACTACTACTACTACTAATATCACCCTTACTACTAATATCACACTCACTATCTTCCTCCCCACTCTCCCCATACTCATCCTCCCCATACCTCTTCTTCTTACTCTTCTCTTCCTTTTGTTCTACAAACACTTTTTTTATTTCCATTTTACTTTCTTTAAACTTAATATTTGTCATTTCACCTTCTAAATTATTTATTTTATAAAAATATATTTTATCTTTAAAAATTAATAATCTGTTTCTATCTTCATCGAATATAAAGTTAATAAGGTTATAAGAGGTATAGTTATCTATAGTATCTATAGAGTTATAGGTATTATTATCTATAGTATCTATAGTATCTATAGTATTAGTATCTATATTATTATTATCTCTATCTATATTATCACATATAATAGTATTATCACATATAGTATTATTACTATTATCAAATTTAATATTATCACACCCATCTAAACTATTCAATATATTACTATCTAATTCTTTGGTGGTGTCTATTTCTTTAATTAATATTTTATTATTAAAATCATACACCTTAATACTATTTCCAACTTGTAAAAACATAAGTGTTCCATTTTTATTAAATTTAATTTGTTTAATACGTTTTTTATAAGTAAAAATAACAGCAAATGCTTGTTTAGTTTTACAATATAAAAAATTATTTTCAATTATAAATAAATATTTGTGAAAAATCATAAAATTTGAGAAAATATCGAAAGATATTTTTGAGGGGAGAAGTGTTAATCTACCTTTTTGTTCTAAGACGTATAGTGTTGTTGGGGAGGTGGAGATATGTAGAATTGGAGAGGATTGTTTGTAACTTATTAGGTGTTTAAAGGCATAAGGTGTATTTTGAGTATTATTTTGGGTATTAGTGTATAAGCTACTATCTAATCTATCTAAGATATCCAATCCATCTGATCTATCCATTCTATCTAAGTTATGCATTCCATCTAATCTATCCATTCCATCCATTCCATCTGATCTATCCATTCCATCCATTCCATCGTATCTATCCATTCCATCTAATCTATCCATTCCATCCATTCCATCCATTCTATCCACTGTTGATATAAGAATACCTTTAATTGTGCCTGACTCATCACCTGCATATAAAAGACTGTCTTGTATTGCAATACACCGTACAGAAGAAAAAAACTTACAAATAAAAAAATCAGTTTGTGTGATAAAATCATGGAGATATATGTCACCAGATAAAGTACCTATATATATGTGTGTAGGTACTGTGTGTACACAGGTGGGTGGTGATTTGTATGTATGTGTGTATAAGTGTGATATTTGTGTGTCTAGGTTGTATAATTGGAGGTTGTTTTTGTTGTCTATGTGTGCTATTATTGAGGAAGTGTTTGATATTTTCATGATTTTTGTATGGAGAAGGGGAAGGGGTTGTTATATAAGTGTGATGGATAGGGAGTAGAAAATAAAGGGGAGTTAGTAGAGTATAAGGTGTTAGTAGAAAATAAAGGGGAGTTAGTAGAGTATAAGGTGTTAGTACAGTATAAGGTGTTAATAGATAAGTGTGTAAGATAAAATTATTATTGTAGTGTTAATAGATATATTAGGGGTAATAGATATATTAGGGTTAATAGATATGTTAGAGGATTTAGTAGAAGAGATGTTATAATAGGTTACTAGATATATATTAGAAGGGTTATAATATATTAGAAGGGTTATATATTATAAATGATTAACGGTATGAAATAACACTCTCTTACATTATAGAATATATTATATTATATAATAACACTCTCTTACATTATAGAATATATTATATTATATAATAACACCCTCTTACATTATAGAATATATTATATCATGTAATAACACCCTCTTAGTATATAGAATATATTATATTATATAATAACACCCTCTTAGTATATAGAATATATTATATTATATAATAACACCCTCTTAGTATATAGAATATATTATATTATATAATAACACCCTCTTACATTATAGAATATATTATATCATGTAATAACACCCTCTTAGTATATAGAATATATTATATTATATAATAACACCCTCTTAGTATATAGAATAGTTAATAAAACATCTTAGTAGTAAGAAAATATAAATCCTTTAATAACACCCTTTAGAGAAGTAAATCAAATTACATATAAATAACACCCTTTAGAACTATTAAATATAAATACCTTTAATAACACCCTTTTAAGAACCAAATTAAAATATAAATAACACCCTTTAGAACTATTAAATAGAAATACCTTTAATAACACCCTTTAGAGAAGTAAATATAACTACATATAAATAACACCCTTTAGAACTATTAAATAGAAATACCTTTAATAACACCTTATAGAACCAATCCCTAATAAAATACTTATCAATAAGAAAAATCCTTATCAATAAATATAAATCCTTATAACTCAACCAATAACACATCAAAATAATACCAA